CAATATGTATGACTTTGACATTTAATGAAACACCGTAAATATTGTAGATCTACGCTGCATGATCATTTATAAATTATGCATTATATATTTTGAAAACCAAAGTGGTCGAATAGAACAAGAAAAAGTCTTACTTTCAAATACATGATATTTAAACCATCTTTGCACTTTTGTCCCTCAGAATCTTAGGCACGGTGACACTCCACAAAGCCGGAAGCTTATGGATATTTTTGCAACAGAGGTTTATCTCTTTTTTGTATTTTCACGTAAATGGAGTTGCTGCCCTCAGCTTAAAAAAGTCTGCCATACCTGATTGACTCAGCATCAGGAAAGTATTGTGAGTGTATAGCTGTTCGACTTGATTAATCATGGGTCGTTCGCATGCCTCCTTGTTGCCTCTTTGTAAGGTGTTACAAAATTTTCGCGCTGTTCCAGTTTACTGGCAATCCACACGTGGTCAACAGCCAAAGGTGAGGTGTAGTGCAATTTAAATGCGCAATTTTACAGCTGTAAGATGACCTGTGTTTCAAGACCTAATGACCCGCTGAGGTCAAAAGTGGTTGGCTTGTACAATTACGTTTCGAGTATCTGTAATATGCTTCTGCGAAACAACCATTCACTTTTCAACCATCTAAGAAGTATTAAATAGTATTTGCTTCATTAGAAAAGGCTAACCTGTACAGACTGCGTCCCGATTTTTAAATAAAATGAGACGTTGAACAAATTGCAGTGTTACCCTTTAAATCACTATTCAGTGCTATGTCGCTTAAACATTTTAAGTTCATTCAGATTGAACTGAAGATAAATACGAAAGGAGTCTCTACTTCTAGCTTTTGAGGAAATAATAAACCAAATTTCTACGGCTAAATATTTTTTTGGACTATTATGAACCTCCAGTATTTTACATCACTGGTTGTGCACTGTGTTACTTACCAAAGGATTCGTTTAGTGGGAAGTGCTCACAGGTGTCAAATATGAGAGGGAGTATTAGGTAACCAAATAAGTTCGTATGGTTTTTATTTTAAAGCTTAAATGTTCGCAAAGGGTCCCTAAAAAAATTATATTGAAATCCGTAAGATTAGAATCCATGTTCCTTCTCCAATAGCCCGAAATCTTGGAATCCTACTTTTGTCTAAGACTTTTCCTTATAATCAGACAACCTAGCTCTGGTCTTTCTTGTGTCCATCCCTGTGTTATATTCCAATCATCTACTCTATCTCAAATGTAATCATTTGGTCGTCTACTGCCAACAAATGGCAGAACCATCACTTGGGGAAATAGCGTTAGTAGGATCCAGAGGATGAGAGTATGAATGAGCCAGTGCCTCACTGTCTCTCATCCTGACTAAAGTGCACATTTTCTCACAGCAATTTTTGCGCCATGGAGAATGAGGTCCTAGTTCTTTCTGAAGAAGTCTTTTTACATACACATCTTTGGGTCAAATGTGTCAAATAGAGAGAATTAGGTCAGGCTGTGTGGACTTCAGTGAGAAATTCATAGGGAATAATGCCTTCTGCAGTGCACCACATACAGAGGACAATTACCTGGAGATAAAGTGGTTCCTTAAAGATGGGGGTGATGAGTGGATCGTTCAGAGACGTACAACGATATTTTCTTGTGTTTGACGGTACGGAGCAAAAGCCATTTCTCATTGTAAGTCAGTAAGTTGGTAAATAACCCACAATGAGCAAATTCAGTAACATAATCAAATTTTTTAACCTTTTCTGGGTAGTTGCAATCCGTATATGCACAGATATGATGAGTTATACATGTATGCGTACGTAGGGCTCATTAAAGCCTAGTAAACCTCACTGCAAATCCAAGGGCTTTAGATAGATTAATTTTTCACTTTTAATTCAGTAGTAGGAATATCAAAGTATGAACCATATCGGGAGAAGTGACTGATCCAACACAACTTGTTTCGATACGGGCAATCCAATTCTCGAAGTGATGTGCATTAAACTGTGCTATTTAGACGTGGCAAGGCAGTCTCTACCATATTCCCTTTTATTTACTCGGCATGTGTCAACTAATGTATACTTCTGAATATCTTGTGACACAAATAGCTAAAAATAACTTGAAGTTTTCTTATTTTCAAGCAGATCTCATAACAAGATTTCCGTAAAGTAGTAGGCAGAAGATAACAGCGCTTAGAGAAGTAAATTAAGCACGTTTAAGTAGGTCTATTTGAGCTACACCTCATCTCGTTGCAAATGCATTGCAGAATGCAAGAATGTGTAGTCAAGCGTGATTCACAATAAGCGAATATTCGATTGGCCACAACCTGAAAGGGCTGATTGGCCACCTAACTAGATAGGGGCCTTGTGAAAATATCTATAGTCCCTCGTGTTTATCGGCGCGATAATGCAATAAATCGGACTTTGCTACGGGAAGGGAAGTCTGCGCTAATCATGGCTAAGCCAATCCTTTGTACCCAACATATATGTGCAATAAAATATACACTATGGTCCCAAACGCTGATTTAGTGCATAAATAGCGAACAAAGTCCTGTTCAGGCCGTTCCTTTTCGGCTCTTTGTCTTAGCATAACTAACCGGATAGGAAAACCACGACCAACGGAGAACTCACTCTTAAACTGTTTTTCGCCATTCTTCAGTCAAGTGGTTGTGGTAGTAGTGATTTTTTAGTCTGAGTAAATGGCTAAGCCAAAAGTTTGCGACTTTCAAAGATGCCATTCCATTTCTCTTTTTTTCTAATCCAGTTTGATAAATGGGTGCGGTGAAATACACTATGACTCTAATCCTCAAAGGCTATTTTATTGAAAAAGTCAGCGCTTTTACTTTTGGTGGCAAATAAGATTTTATTGGAGTAAATTTGCTTCAAAGTTGACATTAAAATGTAGCAAAGTGAAGCAAAATAAGGCTCGTAGTAAACAGAATCCGTGACAAGAGAATATAGTTGTGGATTCAGCTTTTAATGTAAGGACATAAAATTATTTCTTCATTTATTTATTCTACACATGAATGGGCACGCAATTAGTTTAGTTTAGCAACGTCAAAAGTTAGAACAAATAAGCAAAATCTGATTATAAAAATAGTCCCAGATTAAAATTATGTACATCCATTTAATTTACTAGTATGCGGCGCTATAAAATGCACAAGAGAAAGAACCACCGAACTTCCATATATATTTAATCGCCTGGTAAACAAGGTATCCTTAATAAATATTCCACCTTTAACAAACAAAAGCCGCTTCACTGTTAGTCAAACGATCGCCATATCGACTGATATGCACATTAGAAGTAATGAAAGACTGCATTTTCCTGACAAACATCGCTTAAAAACTATATGGACTGTTCAACCATTTACCCAATTTACTTGAATTGTTTCCCTTCATTTGTAATTAGACTTCTACGGTATCCACCTACCATTAATCGCAGATTTCCTAGTTATATCCTTATTTTCATCTCCATGGCCAGAGTCACCCAGATTCAGATTGGTCTAGTTACTTAGAGGGGATTCTACGCGCAACAACATTATTCGCTTGCTAGGTATACTTATGGAATTTAATTTGTGACCATAAAAAAGATATTACGGGAAACTATCTGGGCCAAGTTTTGCAGCTCCATTTTTGGCAAGATGACATCCCCTGAATAGGTTTATAAGGTAGTTGGCATGGTAGACGAAGCCAGTCAAACAACAGCCAGGCAAAATCAACTGCTACTTCTGCTATCAACAAAAATGTTGAAGGACAGAGACGTTTTGATGATTGTGCATGGCAAAAACTAAGTCTTAAAATGAAATAGTACAAATGGAATCAAAATAAAAAGCCGATTTTAATTCGAACTTTTTATTGCATGAACAGGAACAGATACACAAAGTTATCTGATAAATATAATGCTACAGATCTGCTAAGATGCGGAAACCCAGATATTCATAACGAAAGCTTAATATGTTTCGTCCGTATTTTTGAAGAGCATCCTTTCCGGTTATGCTGAACTGGGGACTGTAATAAATTCGACCAACCGCAATTCAGCATTAAGTGGGGATGAATTATTTAAGGAGGTCAACGGTTCAGGGTTATTTGGAGGACACTTTAACAAATACCAAAAAAAATTAACTCCAGTCGATTAAATGCCTTGTGGTACTGTCATCTATAAGCAGACCGACACTGGAAAAATTTATCAAAGAAGAAGTGGACAAAAATACTTTAATCAGAGGGATTTAAAAGGAGTGCTTATCGATGTTTTTGTGAACAAGTTAATTACTTGAAAGTATCGCTCACCGCCCAGTCTCAAGAGGTAGAAAGGGATGACTTCATTTAAAGTATTCCTAGTCGTGGTAATAATGGCTCCGAAAAAGAGAATGTCACTAGTCAAGAAGAAATTACTTTTAGAACCTATTTTGACGATTTACCTCGAAGTTAAATGTGATCCTAGGATAGCTGACTAGTTTTTGCTATCACTATAGCATTTCGGTGTTTACTGAGCACGAATTCGCGATGTCCAAATACATTTCTCCGAATTTTCTTAATATTGCTTTTGTGAGAGAAGTTAATTTTGATTTCGTTTGATTTAGTCAGCTAAATACATTCATGCTGCCTATTGAATTCCGCATGTTCCACTCCGTCAACCAAAATGTTGTAGCTGATCCGAAAGTCACATTAGGGAGCAGAAGTGTAATCTGCGGCAGTTGAAGTGGCCGGGTAATTCAATATCCAGATAAGAATAACGTCAGATCTTCACTTTATTATCGTCCAATAATAAAACTCTAATAAAATTTAATTGAGTTTATTCAATAAGTCAATCAGTTTAGTGAGTACAGAAGATTTCCCACCACTGGACAAGTTTACCACAACGATTTAGTTTCTTTATATGGATGGTACTTCAAATGAACCAATTACTCAGTTTCATGCAACTGGGTAAAACTGTGTATGTTAAAATAAACAATTTTTTACAACGTATCTCTTCTTAGTTCTTGATAATCGGATTTATAAGATTGCAGGACTGATGTACTTATTTTGTTGCATGACTACAGTAATACATCACTCTAGGTGAAATTTACTACAAAAAATAATCACTTTGAAACAATAAAAGTGTTCTTTAGCTAATCGAATCAAATTATTTTCATTTTTAAGATAATACTTTAAAGTATGACTCTGTGAAAATACTTAAGGGCCAATTTTTCAAAGCTTTTTGCCTTTCATACCCTCAGGTGATCAGATGCTACAAAGTATAGCAGTTCAAGAATAATTCTAACTTATTCCGCCAACTAGATAGTGTAGGAAATGTTACTTTGTTTTTTTTTGCACTGATTGCCATCTAAAATACCTCGAGAGGTTGATTTTATATGGGTAACTAGCTAAAAGAAGGTATAAATAAAAAGGAACCTAGACTACTCGCACAAGTAACCACTTTTATTTTGGATCGCTACGATGCATTTTTTGCCAAACTATGGCAATTTATTAAATGTGATAATATGCTAATATTATCATCATGTGGACCAAATAAATGGGATTTAGGCTGCGGTACACCTACTGACGCAGAAATACACCGACGTGTACTAACAAAACTGCTCATTGCTAAGGTCTCCAGTAAATAACATCATTTTCTAAGTCTTTATCATATTTCCGTGCTATTTCTAAAAATAAATAATAAGCGGAGGGCTCTAAAATGAAGCCACAAAGGATACATTATCCATCATATTGTGTAGTAAAAGCAGACTGCAGAATTTTTTAGAATTAACGATTAGCCCTAAGTTTAGAAAGGCTAGTATAACTTCAACTAAGCCGCAGCACATCTGCATACATTTTTACTGGCAAACAAATTCAAGATTGTGCAAGTTTACTCACAGTGTCAAGTTCACGTGCGGTAGATACATTTTTTTGTCACAAAAAAGATCCCACATTGATGTGTAGTGGATGGGCTCAACTGATTTTAACCTCACCGACTTCCGCCAGAAAATCCTACGCCATGGTAAAAAAGAGGTGCTTTTGTGCTTGCGCAAATTACAAAATTTTGCAGCGAAAATTCCGCAACTACTATCCTTTCCCCAGTTTTAATGAGAATGATTCGCTCCACTCTTACAATTTCGCGATAGTAACTGCCAAATGCGACCCTTAGGCGTTAACCGAAGCATTAATTCTGTCAAATAAGAGAGTAGACCTCAGCTACATGTTATTTAAACACCCTACTACTTGTCAGGCAAGGCTATTTTGCCTGGATATTAACCGGATTTGTGGCGTTATGATAGGTTTCCTGCATTCATACAGAAGAAAAGGTGTGACAAGTGAAGTATTTAATGGTGAACTACTTTGAGACGTTTCTACTGATGATCGTTTCGTAGGTCCGTAAAAACAGGTTTGAGCAATTTTGGAAAAACAATTTTTGGGTTCTTCTTTCTAAACTCATTATACTTATCTAGAAGTTAATGAGAAATCAAGGTTTGTAGTCCCGAAAAAGAGAACAAAGAACTGAAGCCATTGGAAGAGTTTTGGTTCCTGCTTGATTATGACTAATGTGCTTTACTCAAAAGGATTTCTGTAAAATGTTTAATTCCTAAAATCTTCGGTAGTTATCCAAATACGATTGGCACTAAGCTGAAGTTTTATTCGACCCCATTAAGTGAAAAAGAAACAGGATGCGTCACAGAAATGGGGCTTACCGGCCATCTTTTACCACTTACTAAGCTGTCCCAATTAATAGAAGCACCTCGTCCATACACAAACCATAAATTGTCTGCATCTTCGGTTAAAATCACAACACTCACGCAGAGGAGACATTAGGAGGGAAGGCGACCAGAGGGTTGACAAGTGGAAGGTAGGTGTGGGTGGATGTCGATGATTCATTGGCGGCAGGGGAACGACCCCATCTTTTCTCCCCTCCACTTTTCTTTCAACAGAGCCTCCAAGCGTCGCCTTGCCGACTAAAAGTTGGCTAATTGTCAGGTTATACGCCATTCGAAGTGCTCCTTCAAATACCCATCTTTGCCGTTTTTTCTACTCTAGAGCATAACAAATGTGCCGTCACTCGACATCTCCTCTTCTGCTCTGCAATTACTCTTTTAGTCGAAGGGATCAGCTGAAATTAACTGAATTGAAAGAGAATAGGATCCAAATTTAAAAAATGTTGGTAAAATTACTCAGCATATTATGTAGCACAATAATAAGGCAGTGGTCAGCACTTACTGCCTTCTGCGCCGTCAAAATAAAATAATTAGTGGAAAAAGGTCCTGATTTGAATTTGAATATCATTGTTAAATTAGATTGTGAAGTGCTGTTTTGTGCGCATTATTCATAATTAGAAATCTAAACCCCTCGAAGTTAAATCCAGTTTACATCGCTAAAAAAATGATCACTTCCGAAAGCGATTCGTGATATTTCTACAATCCACTGAAAGCACTCAAAATTTTAATGATAGAATATCGTTCTTCTTAATAAAAATAACTATTAAAAATGTAGCAATCTTTAAAATATGACTTAAAACACGGGTAGCTACGAATTAAATAGGGTGGCTGGGCGAGTAGTAGCATTTTAAAACTAAAAATTCCGCAGACTTGACAAATGCAGAACCATCACCACTTTTTATCGTGTGACACGGATGTCTCTTGCGGAAGTCGGCAAGCATAAAAACGATTGAGGCTGTCAATTTTGCATCAAAATGCGGTTTTGTGGGAAAAAGAACTCACCACAGAGGGAAAAAGCGTTGTAAAGGCAACAAATTGAAATTAGGGTACAATTATACTAATATGAGATTGGTACACTGTTTAATGAATATTTCCATCAACAGAAATGCAATTAGTGAAACCAACTTGCATATTCGATAGACAGCACTTCGTTTTACGTTGATTACAATGCACGCCTCACGTCTTGCCTTACAGTCACTTTGAGTTTCCCTAGTATTTTTAGTTAATCTATTTTTACTTCAAAATGTTAAACTTTTGATATTTAGGGTACCGGATTCGCATACCGACCACTTTCCAGGTAACTGGAAAGTGCGCGCTCACTTATACCCATAAATCATTTTTAAAATGCTTGGCAAATTAACCCGTACACATACTGATTACTTTGGACAATTGTTTAGATTAATATTGCTTATAAATGGCTAAACAACTTATAAAAGTCTCATGCGAGGGATCCTTTTTATCGACCTTGTAACGACTTTGAATAACTGTATACTAGTGTGAGATATTTTGCAGAATTATCCATTTAAAAACAAGTGTCGAAGTTTGCTGGATAAGTAGGCCTTCTATAGCACTCCGAGACCTATTTAAAGACAAAAAAGTAAGTAATACTGGGACAGAATACGTATTGTCAAGCTAAAGAAGGGCCTGGGGCTACTGGCAGGGCCCGGTCCACCTAGCGAAGGCACAGTGGCGGAGCACCTAGGTGGCCCCTTTACCAAAACCAAGAGTTAGACAAAAAAATAAAGTATTACACAGCCCCTCTCCTCTTTAAAGCGCCATTCTCGACGCTTCCCTCCATCGGCCTCCCTCATCGGCCATCAAAACGTAATCGGTGCTGCAAAGAAACACTCATGAACCAACCGCGCCAGTCATGGAATTTGCGTGCACTTGAGAAGATATATGACCACAATCTCACTGATACCACTTGGCATATCCGTTGGATCTAGAGTTCTATGCCGCTTTGGGACAGTATTAGGGAAGGGGGAATGTGCTGATCACCAGGTCTGTTAGCCGTAAGAACACTAGCCGAAAAGCAGACGTATTACAAAAGATGGATTTTATTTTTGTGGGGTAAGGTTTCGCGTCTGTTCCTCCTCTTCACTTTGTTTTAACTTCAGTGCTGCCCAGCCATATCTATCTATCTATCGAGTTAGTGGGGAGGTGAAAGTGGTATTGCGTGTTCACTTAATTGGTATCTTCATACAAGTTCTGTAGGCAGCTCTGTAACAAGCGTTTTCAGATTGTTCACGACTAGTGCTGCGCCAGTTTTTAATTGCAGACTGCACGACTAGGATAGCTGTCGGAAGCTGACGTCACTGTCTACCCTTCTGTTAGGGGTCGTCACAGATTCGCCCATCTGCATCACATGCCCTTCTTTAATCACCCTAGGGTTTACCATTCAGTAATAGAAATCAAGGTAGTTGTGCCTTGCGATAGGGTTCGCCTTCCGCTGTCACCAGTGTGGCGCCCAGAGCCTTTCCTGAAGACGAAGGAAGCCATGATACGAAGGCAGAATATGTATCACCGTCGTATAGAAGGCCTAGAGGCCATGCCGCCCAGCGGAAGCACAATGGCTGAGACCTTCAGTGCCCGCGAAATTAAAACGATGGGTAAAACAAATAAACAAGATATTACACTTCAGTTGCCTCACTCATAATATGATAAGTAATGCGTCATTAAAATTTTTACGCTTTTCTTACTTTAAGCCTACATTATCTCGAACATAAAGACAGTTACATACATTCCACAAACATTGTCATGAATGGGTATTGGGCGCTTCTTTAATAATTTCAAACCATGTCTTAGTGTTGTTACATTTTAATGTGAATCTCTTAAATTTTATTGGTATAGAGTAAGTACAACACAGAAAACTCTTCTTGGTAAACTTGAAGCCCATTAAGGATTAGCTGGTACATTAAAAATGTCTTGATCATACTCGCGAAATTTCTTATATACTCAAAGCAATAAATGTTTTCCAGAGGTCGCATTAAGAATAGTTGAGTTCTACAGGTAAAAAAGAAGAGCTCATACTTGGAGTGGCTCGTTACGTTGGTACCATAGAACAAGTGAAATTTCTTCCCAGGGGAATCCGCTAAAACTAATTCAAATGCCAAAATTTTAAGTCCTTTGTAAGGAAAAGAGAAAAAACCAAAATATTTCATTCATAGCATATGACTTGTAATTAAAACCTTATTCGGCTAATAGTAATTTAAAGGCAAGAACAGAGTGGGATACTCAAATATTCTGTTCATTTTTTTGTAAACTTGAGGCATGCAAATGCTATATTCGGATGAAAAAAGGGCTGCTCTTTTCAATAAAATGCTAAACTAGCATGAGTTACTTCGTAATCAGAGAAATGAACATAAAACGTGGCTTATTCGCTGCCATTAGAACATTTCTAGCTAATTCAAAGTCAAATTTATCTTATTCAAATTGTTTTGACAATTTCTAGGGAATATAAACCTAAATGCTATGAAAACTTCCTTCAGCATAAGTTTTAAAAATATACTACTTGTAATAACTTTGAATTTTTTCTACTCTTATAATCCTATTCCGAAATTTTATAAAATTTTGCGCCGTATAGGATTTCCCTTAATGTCAACGAACCCTTATGCATTCATTAGGAGTACGCAGACCCATTTGGGACGCGGAGTTGATCAGGGACTAGATTTGTCAGTCCCAATTTGACAATTGAGAGTTATGACCATTTCTATAAAAAACTTCTTATTCATTATCTACGGAGTGCCAACAAACAAGAAAATTAAGAAAAAGGCTATTTACCCAGCTGGACTAAAGGAGGATAAAAAACAACCATTTAGGACTCTAGATAATCATGCTTCCCCCTTTTCTACCAAAACTATGTTTGTGGCCTATTGCTGTGTTCTATACAAGAACTGGTAGTTTCACTTGCCTTTTATAAACCGTGCTTTTCTATTCGAAAAATAGTTAACCACTTCATTTACCTAATAAAATGTAACAGCTTTATTAAGTAATCTGTAGTTGTGTGTTGGCAAGGAAAAGATGTCCAATGATGAAACCAAATTTCAAAGTTATCATAAACTTACCTCACGTTGGACAGTTGCGCTTGGATAAAACTTTATTCCAGATTCAAAGGCATTTTAAAGCCAATGTGAGGTGCTACCTATAAGCATAAAATCGGCATTTCTTACTGAAAAGCCCATCATGCATGGGAGCACATTCAGATGGAGGTATCAGTTGAATAGTTGTTAGTCAAATTTATACGAAGTTTGAAAATAAGGTAACAGACTGGAATGAAATTTTTTGGTTTGAAGAATGAAGAATATGTTAATTGTTTAACAGAAATATTCCTTGAACATCCACTCAGATAAAGATTAGTACATAATGTGTGTGTAGTCATTGTATTCAGATCAGATTGGAGGCATGGTCAATTGCCCCATAGCTAACTTGCGGCTCAGTTCGGCAATCCGTGATTAAGCCAAAGCCGCTGTTTAAGGAGATTCTAATAAATCCTATGGCGTTGTCTATTTCGGTCAATTCGCCGTTTAATTATACCTATAAGTGCTACAGAGAGTTTATGTTTAGAGATGCTCATAGCTCAACAAACGAATGTTAAAAGTAAATAATTCAGTTATAATTATAGCGAAAATTAAATCAACTTTCACCTTTTAGTTGAGACTTCCTACTACACTTAAGAAGAAGAAGAAGAAAGAAGAAAAGTAATTTTCGGATTTTTTTCTGGTACTCAGATCATTTGCCACTACTTTAATCACTCAATTCATTGGCTCTTCTTTCGTATTCAACAGATAAAAAAGGTTCAATCAAGTTATTGTAGGTCACATGATTCTCAATTGATGCTGACAAAACAATCGTGTTTGCCATACAGAAAACTGAAACATCAGAAACAAAAATAACAGGGTGTTCTAGGGGAGTAGATTTCAGTGTGGAAATCAGAAAAATTAATCGGTACTTTAATGGCTGATGCGGTGGTAGAGATGACGCCGATTTGCAATCCAGTTTCACACTGTCAAATGAATTCGCACTGACAGGGCATTAAATTCCCGTGTTGACCGCTAGGACACAGCCCCACTCCGTTTGGCGCCGTGACTGTCAACTCTACCGCAAAATTAAATCATCAGAGGGGAAATCGGCACAAGCATGATGAAATTACTGACCAAAACTTTACCTTGCGTCCTTCATATGATGGAGAGGTTTCCAATTTTGAAATGAACTATTTTTGACCAAATAGAATGTCATGATTTTTGACAAAAGGACGGAAGATCTATGACTGATGAGAAAGTTGTTTCATGAAAACGCCGGAAATGCAAAAAACATCGCTTTCTATTGTACACTTGAAGAGGACGGCCATACTTCATTGTTCTGACAGAATGAGGTTCAGGAGAGTGGCGTAAACAATGCAAACTTCACCGTTGAAGTGAATCATCTGTACGAAGAGCAGTGTAACAATTTTGTGATCCCGCAGCTGCCTCTCCAAACATTGTTAAATGAAGCGCATGATAAGCGAGAGGGTGAAAGTAGGACCAGAAGTCATTCTGTAGTAGTGCCCATCACTTCGTTGCGAGAGCCGAGCCAATTGTGCCTTGAGTTACACTGGTGGTAATCCGCATTGACAATACGAAATGTCAGTTGCTTACATTCGTGATGAAATTTAAGATGATCATCATGGGAAAGGTCTTTTATTTTTTCAAAACCTATAAAATTCCGAAAATAGCAAACCTCATACCCAAATCCGACACATCCGAAGGGACTCAAGCTATTGCTACTGCAACGGTGGCCTAAAAGCCGCTGAAAAATGGCATTTTACCTAAAGTTATTTAGATTTATATCGATGTTGCTCCCACATTGGCAGTTAAAGTTATTAAACGGTTCATAACTTGAATAAGAGAAAAAATAATCAGGACGAATATTGACTCAAGAGTTCTGATAAGGGTGACAGACGGGCGAAGTTAACGACTATTTGGCTAAAGCATCACCGATCTAGTTCCAATCTATGTAATTCACTGAAAAAACCTGCCGACATTTCAGCCAATGCAGTTTATCTTAGCACCAATTGGTGCGAAATTGGAGGTATGGAAAAGGAACACCAATTTTAGTAATGACCAGCATATCAGAACGCCGAAATAAAATACCAAATGAGTAGAGCAGAGAACGAGCTATTCGCTCTAGTGCCACCAACTTCATAAGGTGCCAGTGTTCACAATTTGTAAAAGTGCTCCAGACAAATGAGATGCTACCAGGTTGATGGCAAGTTAGGTGACTGCAGACATACGAAATTCTCTCAACCATCTGAACTGCCGCCAGTCAATTATGTCATTGAAATTCAGAATCCGAAAGTGCGTTAAACTTACGACGCGCGCTCTCGCAAAGCATGTTGGGCAGACCTTAGGGTAGGGCGAACCGAGCATGAAGTAAAACCCCAATTTCATCTTCCAATTAATGTGAAAAAAAAGATTAAATCGGAAAGTTTGTTGTGCGTTACGAAAAACGAGGTGGTTATGCTTGCGGGGGTGAAGTGTACAGCGCAGAAAAAGGTGCAGTCACTGAGTCAGTGCCTTCAAAAGGAGTTCCACAATAGGAAGAATAGTATGATAGCAGCCTTTGCCATTCGACTGACAAAACGTCTTCAGGTTAGTCAGTCGATGCACGAAGCCTTCAGCCTTAAGAAGTACGCGAACCTGGAAGACAAAAAAAAGCAAAAAAGGGGACTCTAACAACCAGATGCTGCCGCACATCATTGCAGATAGTGGTATCGAAGACAGAGCAAAAAGTACTGGAATATGACACTTCGAGGTGAGTACCAAAGTCCAATCTACTTCACTGACTCATTCTCCCTAATCAATTTCTTAGGAAAAATGTCGAGGGACATCCCGCACAAATACAATGCAGGTCTTTTATTTAACAGAATGTCGGCCGTTACCATTGGTGTAGAGCTACCCAGTAAGTTGTGAAATAATGTAGACTTTATTAAAAAGGGCCTAGGTGTATTTTAAACTCCAACTATAATCAGCTTCCTATTTCTTTTAACAAAAACCCACAATAACTTATTAACTGGCGGCACAATTATGCAAAAGCACCATTTGCACATTTTAAAGTGTTCCTACCACCTTTTCTTTGAAACGTTAAATAGTTCCAAAATCTAGCCTTGCTAGACAGCCTCCCCTCAAACACGTGCTAATCTGACTAATTTTTCAAAAACACTTCAACGATGAAATTTATGTCCACCATAAAAGTGAGTCTAGAAATTTCGATACTATCACCTGCACACTCACAGCGAGGTGACTGACGATAACAAGGGAAGTCGTAACCAGAGTTTTACAGCAGGACTTTATTGTAATGCTAAATGAAAGGCTCCGCAACTATTGTGAAAGACGACAATGAAGCACGGATTTTGCAGCACCCCAAAAAGCGTTGTGCCCCACATTCGCTGAGACGAAACTGTTATCTAAAGTGCTTCATTCAAATGTCACCCAAATCTGCTTTCATAAAGTATGCTGGAAAGCAGAGATAAGGAATGGTTGCAACCTGGCTACAAGTGTTAAAAATAACTACTTTATATCACTGATTCCACCAGTGAAATATTTTACCAAATTGTCTCAATAAAGTAAATGTAAATAAGCGATAGACACTTTTATAGCTCTGAACCACTGTGTGATTAATCATGTTTTGACAAAAGCATAATGAAGATAAAACTGTGCCCTAATTATGTATGTGCAAATCCTGCCTTAACCATCACTCACTATTTTACCTTGCAGAAGTGGGCAGTATGACGAATAGTCTGAAAGCCTTGATAGGTAATTGAAGTCGGACTGAGAATAATCCATCATTTCTGCATACTAGTCTGAGTTAATTCACATTTCCCATCATTCTTTCAAAAGCATTGAAAAATTGTGGGGTTTCCTACCAATTAGTTTCATTATCATCAAATCTTCAGTACTTAAATCGTCAATAGGATTAGTGCGGTCTTGCTAAAAGCAATACGCCTTCTTCCATTGAGTTTTTCAAGCAAAATTTCGGATAGCTAAAGAAACCGCAAGATGGGGACGAATTTTTTCTCTTCCCAACCAGACTCGAAGCGAAGTAGACGCACTTTCCCTGACTTAGACACGCGCCAGAGAGAAGTAAATTTTATTAGCGACCCGATGCCCCTCCCCAGCCTAGCCATCCTCTCATCCGTTCGTCTAATGGGCAGCATTTGTTGGGAGGTGCATAGGAAAGGAATGGATACAAACACAGGGCAGGACAAGTCGACTAACCCTAGTGCAGTTGTACGCGGCGTTGCTGAGTGCTGTCAGTGCCAGTAAGGGGACCTCGAGAGTGTTTAACGAGGAGGAGATGGTAGTAAGCTCCAGAGCATTGGCAAGGACTTCGATTATACCGCTGCCTAAAAGAAGCGCAAATGGGGCATGGTGTAACAATTTTAAGAAAGGGACTAATTAAGCATGGATAAAATCACAAGAGGTCGAAAGAATTGTGAAATATAAAATGTAGATTTAAAAACACTAACAACGCAAATTGATCGGCTATAAAATGTCTCCAAAATGTGGGAGCATTAACACCTCCGAAGAATAAACAAATTCTGTTTGGAATTTGGTGTGAATACAACTCCAGGGGAGTCGTCTTGGGATGCAAGCCTTATGCTAACCAATTATGGTTTCCGGACAAATTTTAATCGAAGGCTCGCCTTAGTTCAAAATGTTTTAACCGGAGTAGTCATGCAAATTCATTTTCAGTATATTCATTAGCATAACTCCTAAACTAGAAGTTTTATCAAACTTTGTGTGCAATAAACTCCAAATCAATGGGTCTAAATGAGCAGGTGGAAAATTCATCTACCCATCTATCATCTACTATTTTCATCTCAACACGGACCACTTAACACAACCTTACCAATGCTTTGCCACTAAATTCGACAGATTTCGAAAGAGAAGCTGATGACGCATTTCTTAGGCTTTTAACAAACTAACTGCGCTGCGAACAAATAATCGCTCTAGCGACACAAGACTCAAACTTTCTAATATGCAGATTCCTATTCAAGATTTATGCTGCCAACCTTCTGGGTACCCTTAAAAAATGAATCCAAATTCCAAATTAGCCATAGATTATGGTCATTCATTCCTGACTAATCCCACTTATATAATACCCTGGTAAAAAACCAACTGCGATTGCAAGGTCTCACACGTACGAAAGCAAACACATCCCAATCTCATTTTAAACTACAAATCGGGTACCTTCATTGGCTATTGAAACAGTTAGAAGCTAGATACACATTTTGACTAGCCATGTTAAAGCAAAAACAACTGTCACATCCTCTAATTAGGACGTTTCTAAGACCTCCACGCAGTAAAAATGTCACATTCATTAACTTATTTCAACGTTAAACGTTTGCTTCTTAAATCATTTATTTATGCCGTAAAGACTGCACTAAAATAGAGCAAGCCACACTATTACTTCTACTGAACATCCAACTTTTTCTGAAAGTGCGCAGAAGCTCGTCTAGTCGAGGCATTTTTAAAAAGATTTTTTGCGGCATTTTAAACCCTTGAATTAGTTGACAGAATAAAAAGGGTATGTAGTAACAGCTATGGTTTTTGGTGACTGGGCAGGATGAATTCGGAGAGTGCGTAGCAGACGACCTTTAATCTTCTTATTTCACGCACGTCAATTTCGTTCAGTATTTCCAAAAAGGATGGACAGTGGATGTCTGGCATGTTAAAACAAAACATTTTTACCTCAATAAATTCAGAACTAACTTTAAAGGTGGACTAAAATTTATGTCAGATTAAGAACCATACGAAAAATTAAGTGCTCAAGAAATCTCCCAAGAAGATTAATGAGAGTTGCGTGGAGACCTATCCCATGTATCATTCCAAGCATGGTTACTTATGCATCATTGCATACGATTTGCACAAATTCATTCACGGGCGACATGAATGAACAGTGTTTGCTTCAAAAAAGAGAGCTAGAGTCCCAATTACATCGCCTGTCTAAATTTGCCTAAAGCAGAGTAAAACACGGAAACTGCCGCAAAGGGAGTAATCGTAAGGGAGGTAAAAGGTGATGGAGGCAACTGATACAGTGTCACTTTTGCTAATTGAAATGGAAATCCAATTTGAGACAAATGGCAAAGTGAGTTCATTTTTACGCTCCGCAATAGTGACAAAGGCTCCACAAGCAAGACAGAAAGGTAGAGAAAGAAGTGATAGTATGAGTGACTCACACTAGAAAAGTTGGCAGCGGGGGTGAAGGCAATTTGCAGTGGTGAGGGTAAATAACCCTTGTGTCCAAAATCCATCCTCCCCACTTTGACAATGTTTGGCTATTTGGACTTCCCCCGTCGGTGTGTATCCGTGTCACTAATATCCAAGTAGGGTGCATTTTTGTTGAAATTTTAACCGTCAGAAAGTTTCCACATCCTATTCCACGTCAGTCATACCGATGAAGTCTTTTGGAAATTTTAAAGAGGCGGAGAATCACCTCACACCATATTTAATATAGTTGGTATTTTGTGCAGTAAATAGTTACTAAAATTGGCTGTCACTGACGTCGGGCAACAAACTGCGACAAATTTTTGACCTAGAGCTAAGAGGATCATGATTCGTGATTTACTGACCTTGAATTTTCTCTTATATTGCCTTCGGCAAGATTGAAAAAATTTTGTTTTAGCTGTTCATCACTATCTTCTATTTCGCTCTAGTCAATTTACCTGAGCCTCGTTCTGGATTTCTAACGTTAATTTGCCAAAAAGTATGGTGTTAAGCGAATCGGACCACATTCCTATCACTTCAGGGTTGATTTATGTCGTAACCAAAATACGTGTGAAAAGTGTCCCGAAAAGCATGTTTCTGACTGAAGCTTTATTTTCCTGCGCTTGCGGAGGCGACAGCTCATGGAATATCATCCGAGGTGCATTTTTAAACCTATCTTTTCTCATCTGACGCATAAATTTCACAGGCCTTTTGACGCTATTTATGGACATTATTCTTCATGCATCTCTTTCACTCCTATAATCGACCGAAATTCTAGGAGCACTAGTTTTTCAAATAAGTAGTGTTAATAAATCCAACGAGGTACTTTACTCACTACGAATTTCTTGATATTTCATTTACTTTGGAAACTGCACAGTCATATTTCATAAAAGCGTTTTATAAGTAAAATTTGAGACCTTAAGTTTTCAGCTGTAATATTGCCTGGTCGCCTGCTGAGCGTGTAACATAATTCTAGGCGATATTTGAATGCTTCCGTAAAATCAACAATAAAAGTGAACGGCATTCCCAGAACGAAAACGTGCATTTGAGGTAAAAAGTAATTTATTTCGGTGTTTCAAAGAATTAAGCCCATTTGGCAATAAGTAAGGATTTAAAAGCTAGCAGCATCGTGTAAAATATGCCTTTCGAATCAAATAATGCAAATAAAACTATCGATACGCTAACGATTAAGGTTTGTAAAGTAGGAAATAGCGTGTGGCAAGAAAGTTAGCCCTTAGCACTCACTCTTTTTGTAGAGGTATGTTTTGAAGGTGGTGTTGCTGCAGAAGTTTTGAAGCCCAAGAAAAGCGAAACGGCGAGCCTCCTCGTCGTGGCAGAATCTCACGTGATCCACCAGCACCTCAACTGCGCCTGCGGGAAGAGCGCAAGGTCAAATTCACACACACATACAGGGAGAAACACCATATAAAATAGTGGCGACGGGAAACGCATAAACCCTCACTGTGGTGGAAATGGGAAAGAGGGATGCTCAACCAATCTTTTTAACTTCTAAATCTCCGAGTGGAATGCCATAAACGAAAAGCCCTGCAAATGAAAGCGACTGAAAAGTGCCAGTCAGCTTACAGAACACAAGACTACGAGTTGACCCGGTTAAGAACGTAGATTTAATATCATTTTATAAGTCATTTTATAAGTTAAATATGGATGATGAGCGAAATTTTGCCAAATGATATAATTGCGCATTTACATGACTTAGTTGGTCGTGGAAAAACCCAAATAAATATGAATGAAAGTATTGGAATAAATCGTGTTAGAGTAGGTTTTAATGACATATATTCGCTTCTGATAGGTAACTTATTAAAATTATCAAATAAGCTTCAATTTAACCGCTTATGAATTCAAAAAAATATATCATTGACACTAATGGTCGCTACGCAAAACGAAAAGCAGATAAGTATCTTCCGTTTTACTATAAAATTACGCAAGGGCTTCAACAAGTCGTTTGAATACTAATTATCAAATTCTGTCAATAATAGAACTAGTTTGTTACCTGAAAATCAAACCCAACCAGAAAAAGATCGGGACAGGAATTTAAGATTACACTTAGTTGATCGAAACTACGATCTTACAAATAAAGTGATCATTCATGCAAAGTTAGAATATTGCAGATGTAAAATAGAAAATTCACTTATCCAAGTCCATAATGACATACGGGATGTTCAAAGGGGACTCGATTCGTTACAGAGAAAGGGTGATATAATAATAACATTCCCCACTTTATATGCCAAATATAATTTCACACCCTTAGCCTGCTAAAATTGGTCAAATCTAACAGTTAACACAGGGAAAATAGTAATATTTAGATGAATTTACGTAGGTGGTTCAAAAGAAGGGATTGGCCTTCACGAGTAAAGGTCAAATTGGCGATGAAACGTAGCCACAGACGCTGGAGATGTTGACCCTTAGGAACTCGAGCAAGGGCCTTTGCGTCCAGTCCAGTAAAGTGTGAGAGAATCTTTGCCTACGAAAGTAATTAGGGGAACAAGTGATAGAGAATAGATGGAAAAGCCTGAACATCTGGATATTTTGGCAACTGACTTTGCGAAGTAAAGAATCAACAACGGACTTTTGCATGCAATTTGCAGTGATGTAACAGGTGACAATTTGCTGGGGCTGTTTAAAACAGTTTTGCTTTGGATAAAACAAACCTTCGCAGACTTTTGAAGTTCCATAAAACACAGGATTACTACTGCATAAACTTTGTCAAATTAAAACTGCTATCTAAACCACTAATAAACTAAATAGGAACTTGCTGAGATCATTGGAAAGTGTCATTGCAACCACAAAATATAATGATAAGATGGTTGTGCAAGAATACTATACTTGAAAGGTAAAATTGGCTAAATGTCGAGTGGAGGTAAGTTGTTGAATCAGTAACACAAGCATTGGACAGGGAAATGTGCTCAGCTTTTCGAGTCTCTTTTCTGTCAAAAACGGTCCTTGCAAACTCTACTTTTTTCAAATTGCAAACAACACCAAAACGTTAGTTATTGAGAAACGAATATATTAGTAACGAACCATTACGAGAATGTCACTTCTGCAACTGTTTTAGGCGACCTGGTACTGATGTCGAAAGCTGTGCAATGGTGAGGGCGTTGTTACGTTCTCTTACTACATCTCTAATCCCGATCAAAGTAATAATTCTCAGCCTTCCCTCTAAATTTTCAAAACTAAAACGGCAGCAAACCAGTATCAAACTCTTCGAAAAAATTATTTACCTACGCAATTCCTGGCTGTGATGGCCACATAAGTGGAGTTGGTCTCCAATCGCATAACACGCGCAGTTTTAAACTCATTTTATAAGGCCAATATAACCGAAAGATTACTTGAGGCAAAATTGTTTTTAGGCAAACCGCAAAAGTGCCGGCTTCATTACGATTGCCACACTTCCTATCATAAAACATCGTAAATGGACTTAGTAAACATGATTGAAATTCTAGTAAGCACCGAGAAAAGCGAAATAATAGAAAAAGCAAAACAAAACATCGAAGTACCACGAGTCACAGTCGATTGTGCACCTACTTGAACAAAATGATGATATCATAAGAATAACATTATTTTTCCACAAAGACGGCTAAAAGTAGGTATTATGCTACTAAAGATGCCTTTTTTAAAAGAGCTGGCATGCCAAATTCGAGTATTCATTCGTCGCTACCGCGTACACATATGCATTTGCTTTAAAGATAGCTGCATGTTGAGCATTTCCAAGACGAGTTACAAACCTCGATCGAGGCACGTTGTGAATCACCAAATGACTTAAACATCATCTACATATATGGCGAGATGGAAACCAGTGAATAAGGTTTACAATGTGTTTTACATAGGGTTCTGTCAAGGTAGGATTTTAAGTGTTCAAATAACTTCTTATTTCTTCAAGGTTTACGCAACGTCACTGAAGCAGCCAAAAAAAACTTGTACCCTCAAAACAATAAACTGGCAATGGGGATAGCTAATTTGAGCACCCATCACTGGGAGGAGGCACATTAACTCACTCGCTCCTCCGATTCACGCAACGGCAACACTCAGGCATTATAAACCAATACTCATGTGCGTCAGCTTGAGTCCTGACAACTCCACAACCAGGGTAACCAGGACACAAAGACGTCAACACCAACGTCTCTACTTCCCAACGTTCATGAGCAAACTAGGGGTACAGTGTGCGTACGTGGCACCTGGCTGATTGCTAGGGCCCCTGCATGGCTCCACCCTTACGTGTTTATAGCATCCAATTTCCCTTGACCTCACAGCGATTGCCAGTGCATCTAAAGTCCATCTGTACATGATGCTGGCCACTCGGGCGAATTGAACCAGACCACAGCGCCTTCTACTGTCCAACACCTAATCGCGAAAAGGAACGCTCCTCAACACTCAACACGGCAACATTTTTGGGGTCGCAGACACTCCCAGCATCACCAGAATTCAACAACCAATCCCTCTTAGTCCATCGCTACAACAGTTGCCTAAACTGCCCATCTTTAATTATGATGTGTAAATCGCACATTCCACTTTTGCGAATTTCGACTCAAACTTAACACAGGAACTAATGCTTTCGCCACTCACAATAACTTTGCCATACAATTCATTCCAATGAAAAAACACAAGCAATAAATCGATTTAAACAAAGAGTTATCTCAATGGTTGCGACACTTTCGTGATCCAGTGACGATCTCCAAGGCATACACTTGACACAGCCCACCAACCCAAAATGCTTCGCAAATCTCAACGTTGTTCCGACACAACGTTATTACTCTGTGGTCACCTCCCCACGAAACACAGTGACACTGTACTTATGGCAAGCGGCTTCAAAGCCACGTACAAATCGTCAAGGTTGCCAGTTCAGTGTTAATTTATGGGCGGAATAAAACCACGTACTGTGTAGGAATGGGGGCATCTCTCGAAGCTCATGTAATTGTGTCATATTTGCGAGTTGGAATATTTGTACGCAAACATCCTTTTACGATCCGAAGCGCAATAACTTCTTACCCTTTTCTGCGTGCTCTCACAGCAAGGCACGATAAATTTTCAACACAAATGTATCCACTTTTGCAAAATTCTAACCATTGCTAAAATCTTCACAGCAAGTACGACAAGAA